CTAATGTAGGAAATTAGAAACAGTTTTAACTCCTCTTGGGATCTCAGGAAACAGGGATTGGGATTCCAGAAAGCAGAGATGCAAGCTGCTCGCAGATTCAGTTTGCCGAGTACACAGTCCTCACCATCCGGAGGGGCTGGCCGCGCTTACTGTCAGTGAGAGGTGGAGGCCTTGGGACTTAAAAGCCCCTATACGACACTTACAAATGACAAAACTGGTAACTTTCATGTGATATATATATTACCACAGGTGTGTTTTTTTAAAATCCATATCATAATATATCACAGGGCCCAGGATCTGCCAGATCAAACTCACCTCATCGTCTCTCCTTAAAAGACTGTCCTGCCTTTTAAAAAAATAACAAAATAAAAATGCACATCGATGTCACGTTTTAAAAATAACAGTTCTAGTATCTGAATCAGAATTATTTCTTGAGATCTCACAAAGTTAGCTCTTTTGTGCAGTATGGATTCCAACAAGCTTGATTTGAAGCGAGACATCCTAACTAGGGGGCATGATGAGTTTGTAAGGCAGGCTGGTGGGTTGTTACCTGAGTCAGCAAAATTGCTTCAGTGTTAAGAGATGTGTCGCAAGTTTCCAATGTCTCAAGTCCTGTTGCCTTCCTGTTTTTCTCTGCCAAACCTCAGAAAATGGCCAGGCTCCCATATTCCCACATTTTCTCAATAGGGCCCAGCCTCCTCCTGAGCCAGCAGGTCAGACGGGTGCCCTACGGGGGTGTGTGTGGGGTGTGTGTGTGTGTGTGTGTGTGTGCATGCACTTTGCAGCATGTGTGTGTGCTTTCTCTTGCATGGCTCGGGGGTTTTGGGGCTGGGGGGGTCCGGTGAGCTTATTCACTTAGGGGGACTTGGATTCTGCTCATTTCGTGCTGATCCTTCCTGAGCATGGGCCATCGATGGAGGCCTAAATTTCTGGTCTCAACCAGAATCCAAGCCTGAGGTCAGCTTCTCTACAAGAGGCCTCTTCTGTGCCCTGAGCAGGTCTGTAAGAGGAATTCTTTACACCCCTGTGTCGTAAAATGATCCCAAAATTATTCTCCTTCTCGGCCCAAACTAGGGAAGCTGCCGAACAGGTTCCATCTACCAGAATATGTTTCTATTTGTACTTGCCACACGTGTTAAGGGAGACTTGGTCCTGGAAGCTCCTTGGGTGGGAGTGAGGATTAGGACTGCTAAGGACGGGCACCGGGGAAGCCAGCCCCACAGCGGGGAACTCTGACGGGGGAGCAACACATCTATCCAGCCCTGAGTGCAGGCCGGTGTCCCTTCTAGCAACAGCTTCTCAGCCTCCCTGAGACCCTGGCAGCCGTGAGAGCCTCTGCCCAACACAGTCTGTGCTTGGATACCTCCCGCTTTTAGAGTGTTGTCAGTATGGAGCTAATCCACATCTCTGTTGTCCCATCATCTAGTCCCAGCCCTTATGACCTCTGCCCCATCCCCACGGGGGATATACCATGTGTTGTGTAAAATCGTACCCCAGGTATGCACTCCCCTCTCCACGTTCAGGGGATTGTGACTGTAGCTAACGCTGCTGGGGGCCATGTGACCAGGAATCTGTATGTTCTTCATCTTCACTTACCAAATTATCAGACGAAGGCATATTAACGGCAGTACTTGGCATGAGTGGGCCCAGTGTGTCAGGCACCATGCGTAGGGTAAAGTTTCCATGTGTTCTCTCATCTAAACTTCCAACACCCAGGGGTGCCTGGGTGACTCTGCCGGTTATGCAGATGACCCTTGAGCTCTGCTCAGGTCTTGATCTCAGGGTCGTGAATTCAGGCCCCTCCTGGGGCTCCACGCCGGACATGGAGCCTACTTAAAAAATAATAATAAATAAAAATAAGCTTTCAACAACCCCACTGGAGTTCAAATTAGTATCTTTACTTAGGGGAAACCACGGCTTAGACAGTTGAAGTAATTTGCTCAAAATCATCTAACTAGTAAATTTGTGGACCTAGGATTCAAACTCAGGTATACCCACCCTAGAGTCGATCCTTTAGAATCAGACAAAGCAAGACAAAAAAGAGAATCCGGAAAAAAAAAAAAAAAAGGAGTAGTTGATTATTTTTGTGCCCTTCAGGGGTATCCATTGGAAAGCTCCCTGCTGCTCAGAAATCCCTTTCGTAAGATATTTGAGAAGGGATGAAGGAGAAATGCTCTGAGCAGAGGTCCAGAGGGCCTGGTGCATGTGGGAGGATGAGAAGATGGTTCTAGAAGTCAGTGAGCTCTGGCACGTGCCCTTAGCACAGCCGAGTTGTCATTCCCTTGTTCCTGGGCGGGCTTGAGCTGCAGCCCTTTTCAGGAGGAAATTCAAATCATGGTTTTGGTTTTTTTTAATCTTTGAAATGTTGGGAAGTAAATTAGGCTATGGTATGGTCCAGTGGGTTTTATTCAGTTTACTTCTACACTGAGTTAGAATCATATACAGGAAGTTGCACAGTCTTAATGATTTGAGGCTGATCTAACAAGACTCTCATAGACTGGGTAACTTCCACAACATTTATTTATTGCCTAGAGGCTGGGAAGTCTGAGACCATGCATTAGCAGATCAGGTGTCTGGCACAGACCCACTTGACAGTCTGCACATGCCTTCTCACTGGATCCCGCGTGATGGAGAGCAGAAGGAGAACAAGCCCTTGCTTGTTTTCTTACAGGGCACTAATCCCATTCACGAGGCCGCCAACCTCAAGGCTTAATTACCTCCCAAAGGTCCCACTCTTAATCCCATCACAGCAGGGGTTAGGATTTCAACACATGAATTTTGAGGGGATCCAACCATTCAGTCCCTAACGTACACAGTCATAAGTGCACATACAGTTTCATGAGTTTTGACAAGGGTATACATCTGTGTAGACAGCAACTCCCACACCAGGTGGGGCATTTCCATCCCCTAGACAATTCTCTCCTGCCCCTTTCTCCTCGGTCTCCTTCCCCAACCAGAAGTCGGCCGTGGTGTTTGCTGTATACTCCTCATCCCTAGTGCTGGAAACAGGAAAAGACAGAACAGGGCTTTGATAATAGGGACAGAGCTAGGATGGACTCAGTTACGAGAATGAGCGTTTCACCACAAGGTGTCCCAGCCCTGTTTGCTGCGTGACCTCTTACAGAGACACTGAAATGGTTTATTTTCATACACAGAAAGTGCCCAGCCTGGTTCCATGATTGGCTGAATCAAACTCAACGACTCATTCATATATTTCCGGGGTTTGTTGAACATGGACTATGGTGAACTTCGTGCATTTCAATCCGTTGTATTTCCCTCCCTACATAAACCTTCCCTGTCTCACAACATTTAGAAATCTCTAGTAACTACGGTGAAGATATCCTCCCCCAGGTTCAAGTAGAATTCACTATGATGGTACCTCAGTGTCAAGTGCAGAATTCTGCCCCTTCTCGTGCCCAAGCCTTACCAGATGTAGGCATTCCCTTACCAAACGAGCTATTATTCAACCTGCTGGATGCAGGGGTGTTCTGATTCCTCACGAGTTCTTATTATTAGTGGGTCCTCGAATTGTATTCTTCATGCATCCTTGTTATTAGAGAGTACTATGAATGTGATGCTTATGTTGTAAAGTTTAGAATTCATATATAGTAGAACAGACTTACTACAAAGCCTAGACTGAACATGATTACATTTTCCTTCAATAGCTCCAAAGGGAATTGAGACTCTTATGTCCTCCAAAAGCATCATCACAGTTTGTATTTAATTCATATAGAATTTCTAATAGCCAACTAATAGAAAATTTCCCACTAATAAAACATCAGATGTGGTCTTTACATATTTGCATGCTCCACGTATAAGATTTTTACAATTCTAGGTAGGAAACTACACTCAGAACTAAGCTTTGAAGTGACGCCTTATCTAAAAAATGGAATATGCTTTCTAATAGAATTCAGCCTCCAAAGTCCACTATTATATATAGAGGTGAAGAATGTGGGCTTTGGAATCAGACCTCTCTGGATTCAAGTCAGAGTTCAATTACCTAAGGACTGTGACCTTGAACAAGCTCTTTACAACATTTAGAAATGTTCATCTGTGAAATGGGGCTAAGAGGCGTCTGTGTGCATGTGTGTGTTGTGAGGATTGAACGAGAACGCACATGGAGGGCTTCACAAAGCCTGACATGAGGTGGTTCGTAAGTAGCAGCATTTCAAAAATCAAGTCAACTGTAAGTCACCCACTGAGCGAGACCAACTCGGGGCCCTATATTTTAGTCACATATTCCCAGACAGAAAAATCTTAAACAAATTCCATGAATTCGGTGAAGGTGTGTCATGGAATCTAGAGGACAATGGAGGTGGCCAGTCAGTGGCCAGGGCCCTGGGCCCCCAAAGCCACTCTGCCTTGGTCTCTTTCACATCCCAGCTACATGATACATTTCATTGGACTACTTCTTGAAAAGTTATGAAACCCCTGATTTAATCAAACACCCACATCTCATAGAAGGCTTGGAAGAGCGTTGGTGATTCGCAGGTACTCGGCACAGGTCTCCTGACTCCCAGTCCTGTATGGTCCCGGGACCCCACCCCGTTACAAATGGAGACAAGGAAAAGTAGAAGGAGACAGTGCTGAGTCAGCTACTGAGTTTCCACACGGTTCTTCCAGTCAGTTTCTGGTACCAAAGATGTCTCTAGAAAGACAGAATCATCTGTTTTACCTCCACCCTGTGCCTCAATTTGTCAGAGTCCTGGTTTGTGGGGGGCAGGGGTGCTTGTAAAAAAGATACTTGCCTGGAGACCCGTCCTCCTCTTCTGCTGGGGACCACTCTTCACGGAGTGGCCTTCACGCCACCCTGTGGTTAGGGACCACACCTCTCTCCATGACCATCTTCTTGCAAACATAATCGTGGGGGTCCCCAGTGAGAGATCGCAGATGATGTCAGGTTTTCGTCCCTTTTAGCAGCCAAAAATCTCCCTCCAGGACTCATGCCAGCATTCACTTACTTCCCAGCCTCTTACTTTGCGGCAACCTCTGTCTTCCAGCCTCTCAACATTGCCTACAGCCACATCTACAGCTCGTACAGGAACTTTGTGGGCCCCCCTCACTTCAAGACCATCTGCAGACTCCTGGGTTACCAGGGCATCGCGGTGGTCATGGAGGAACTCCTGAAGATCGTCAAAAGCCTGGTAAGGAAAGGCCCTCTCCATGAGGCCTGGGACATGCCTTCAGCTCTGTCCATAGGAATCAGCCTGGGAATCCTGTGTCCTTATCCCTGGGTTCCTCTTACCTAGCACTCTGTGACACTTCTGCGTACCTTCAGACCTTGTGGCTTTGCCTCTCCTTTTCTGACCCAGAGCTCACTCATTGTGCTTGATAGCTGAACTCAGCAATCCTGATTTGGACCTTTAGGGCCTGATTTGGACCTTTAGGGCCAGTATACTGCTTATACTGTCCTTCTATGTAGTGTTTTCTAATTTGAGCATGACAAATCCATGACACACGTGCCACCATTTCCCCCCAACCCATGCTCATGGCAGACATCTCTAATCCATCACCATGCCTCTCTCTCTTGGGATCTCTTGCTAAACACTTGCAGTTCTGCACTGGCCTCAAGAGAGTTCTATGTCCGCCCCAAATATGATCATCAGAACCTTCATTTAGTTCCCTATGACACTCTGGATTTTCCCGAAATTTGGAGATGACGAAACAGAAGTAAACAAAGTGATGAATAACCATGCTGGAAGTGGGAAGGAGCATTCACCTGCTAATTCCAGCCCTCTGGGGACAGCTGTGTAGAGCCATGAGTTGTTACAGATTGTGGAGCTAAAGCCACAGTAAAGCCCGAAAACGTAACGGATTAAAGGTGTCTGCCTTGCACAAACCTATGGATTGTCTGTGTTTAAATTACCTAACGTACCTCAGGCTCCACAGTTCCCTGGCCCATGACATTTTAGATCTTAGTCTGGATCCTATGTAAGCACCTCGATGCCCAGGAAAGACCCTGTGCCTAGAAATTGCCCTTCTGGAAGTCTCTATGTCTAAGGGACTGAGACAGCTATCTCTTCTGTCTCATAAGGGCCCATTTTTCTGTATAAAGGAGGATGGGGCTGTGCCCCAGCTTTAGGAGGGAACCTCTTCCCCCCTCCCAAGGAGCAGTGCCTTCCTGTCTTATGCAGCTCAGGCTGCTAGAACAGAATACCACAGACTGGGTGGCTTCACCAACAACTACTGATTTTTCACAGTGCTGGAAGCTGGCTTTCCAAGATCAAGGTGTCAGCATCGGGGTAGGTCTCTAGTGCAGACCCTCCTCCTGGTGTACAGATGCCTGCCTTCTCACCGTGTCCTCCCCTCTCTCTAATCTCTTCTCACAAGGGTGCAAATTCCATCATGAGGCTCCATTCCCATGACTTAATTACCTCCCAAAGGCTCAGTCTCCACATGCCGCCCCACTGGGGGTTGGGGTTTCAGTATATGAATTTGGGGAGGGGGACACAAACATTCTGTCCTTAGCCTTGGCCCACAGGCCGCAGCAGAACCCCGTACACCCCAGTAGCCTGCGTTCAGTCCAGAGATGCACCTGTACAGGAACAGTGGTTACTCACGCACGTGGCCCTCTTCTCTTGTCAGCTCCAAGGAACCATTCTCCAGTATGTGAAAACACTGATCGAGGTGATGCCCAAGATTTGCCGCTTGCCCCGGCACGAGTATGGCTCCCCAGGTGGGTGAGGGGCTCCAGGGGAAGAGGGTAGTGACAGGGAAATCCTGCAGGCCCATCCCACGTTGGGGGGAGGAGAGGGGGCCTGGCCCTCTCCCAGGGAATGTTCACCTCTCTAACATGCAGACAAGTTGGGTCCGCCCGGGGTTTGCGTCCTGCCCCTGTCACTAGCTAGATAGCCTTGACCTACTTCTGGGCAATAGTACCACCTTCCCCAATGAGGTAAATGATGTGTCTGGACTCACCTCATGGGACTGCTGCGAGGCTGGAGAGGAGAGCAGTCTGCTTGTTAAGGTCTTTCCTAACTCAGCACCTCTAGGGTCCCTTTTCCGTTTGCCCACTTGTGGGAGGCAGGTGTTGCCGGTGGTGGCACAAGTGACATTTCCAAGGTGCATCAGGAAACAGATTTTGCCACTCTGCCTCTGAGCAGAGGCATCATTCTTTCCTTCCTTAAGAATGAATGGCACAGGGACTGAAACTGGGGCCTGGGGGATAAGGAAAGATTGAGGCTGTGAGTTTGGCACCTGGTGTTTTTTTCCTAAAAACCAAGCTGTCTGGTGCTGAGTGGGTGTGATTCAGAAGAGAAAAGGTCTTGCACTCGAAAGCTCTGGTTTTTCAATTCCAGCTGCCCCACTTACTAGCTGTGTGACTGTGGGCATGCCACCTACCCTCTCTGAGCCTCATCTGAAAATGAATAAAAGTGCCCAGTTCATGGTATTCTTGTGAGTATTAAATGAGAGGTTGTAGAAAAGTGCTTAGCACAATACCTAACATTTATAAATAAACGTTCATTCATGCCATTATCAGGATCATTAACAGTGTTTGGAGGGACTGGGAGAGATCTAGGGATGCTTTATTTGTGCATGCCCCAAAAAAGATTTGAGCCAGCCTCCTGAGCTTTCTTTAGTCCTGAGTCCTGAAAGAAATCTCACCCCTGGCCCAGATACGGAGAGGCATGGGTTTGGTTTTCCACTTTCCCACTCAGGCCTGGGACTGCTGCTCAGTCAGCACTTCCCATAATCCTGGCGGAGCAGGGACAGTTTCCCGCTAACCAGCTGCCTTCGTCCCCCAGGGATCCTGGAGTTCTTCCACCACCAGCTGAAGGACATAATTGAGTACGCAGAGCTCAAGACAGACGTGTTCCAGAGCCTGAGGGAGGTGGGCAATGCCATCCTCTTCTGCCTGCTCATAGAGCAAGCTCTGGTGAGTCCTGAGCCCAAAGGCAGTGGGGAACCCCACCCCAGCCAGATACTTGAGGCCCCTCTAGCGCACCCTGCCCGGGAGGCCTGTGGCATAGACTCGTGCTCTTCCCGTGCCGGGCACACCCGACATCTTGGTTCTGCCTTTACACAGCTCTGACCACTTGAACCCTGGGAGGAGGGCAGGCACTGGCGCTAGGCAGACCTGGGTTCCTGTCCCAGCCCCACCTTGTCCAGCTGCGGGATCTTGGCCACCCAGTCAGGCTTAGTTTTCCATCCTCTCATTAAATAATAACCACTTGGACGCCACAGGCCAGGCACTGCCCTGGGGGATATAGTGGTGGCCAGTCCCTGGACAGTAGCAGGGAGACTCAGGCTGAGCAAGTATTTATGCAGAGATGCTGTGTGTATGTTACCACAAGTGCTTGGAGGGAGGAGTGCAGGGTTTCATGGGAACATAAGCTAGAACTTGGTGTGGTCCTGGGGGAGAAGGAGGACTTCCCTGAGGAGATGACCAGGAGAATGACCAGGAATTGGCCTGGTGAGGAACCAGGGGTGAAGGTCCAGGCTGAGGGAAGAGCTTGGAGCACTTTCTTCATTGGTCATGATGGGAGGTGGCCATTCTCACCCGCAGGGTAGCTCAGAGGCCAAAGGAGAGAAAGCATGCAAAGTGCATGCAGTAAGAACTAAATAACTGCTCATAGTTAATCACACCGCACAGAAGCTTACCTCACCATTTCCCGACCTCACAGGCCCACACGGACCCAGCACACCCTTCCCTGCCTGACGACTCATCTGCCCCCACCAGCCCTCATGGCTCAGGCACAGAGGCTGCCTTCTTCTTGTTCTCCCTAGTGCTCTGCACTGCTTGCTTCCCTCCGTGTTGTGGGGTTCACAGCCCTCCAGCCCTGGGGGCACAGGTGCAGTGGAGTGGAGCATTGGAAGGAAAGGGAGAGGCCTAATCCCCACGAGGCAGCGGGAGCCTCTTTCAGCGCAAGGGGACCAAGAGCCCCCTCATTGCTAGTCCGGTGCTAGCTTGTGGGTGAACGGCCTCGGGTGAGGGAGACAAATTACAGGTTCTTAAGCTCCCTAGAGCAGCATGACTAGAGAAGTCAACAACCCAAGACTGGGAAGGCAGAGGGTGTGACGTGCTATTAAAGAATGAAAAGCAAAACAGGATAGTGAGCGCTGGGTGTCGGGAGGGACGAGCTGCTTTTGCAGAGGGTGGAGCCTGATGTCTTCAAGAAAGAAAGAACTGCGGAAGGGCTGGAGTGGGGAGGCAAAGGGGATAAGATAGTCGCTGAGGAGGGAGAGGCAGGTAGCCGCGGGCCTGGGCGGGAAACCACTGGAGTTTCCTGAGATGGAGAATGAGGGGGTCGGTTTCTGTTGGTGAAAGGCCCTTTCAGCCTCCGAAGAAGCACTGACCACAAGCAGACCAAGGCTGTTTGCAGCTACCCAGGCCAGTATTCTGGAAGCGGGAGGTGCATGGAGAGGGCAGGAGGGAAGGAAGGAGCTGGGGAGGAGGCAGAACCCAGGTAAAGCCAGAGAAGAAAGCTCAGAATGAGAACCGAAGATTCCTGCTTCTTGTCCTCATCGTCCGTGCGAGTGAGCCGGTTCACTCCATCCTGGGGTCCCCACCTCTACGAGGGACACGTCCCATCTGCTCTCGCAGACCCTTCCCCGCAGAAAGGCTCAGAGACGCACACGGTTTTGCTCCCCCTCCGTAAGGGGTAATTGCCTCTCTGTTGCCCTTTAAATAGACTCTTGAGACGGCTAAGTGTTCCTTTTTACGGGAACAGGTTTTGAACACGGTTCAGTGGCCCAAGTTGCCATGGCAACTTAGTCTTCAGAAGTCACAGGGACAAGATGAGGAGGAAACATTGCTCTGTTCAAGGCTTCAGGAAGATGGGGAGAGGCTCCCAGGGCACCAGGAGGACGGGAGCTGGGGGCCGCCTGGCCCCTGGAAACCCAGGGCCTTTGTGTCTCCTGTTAGCACCTTCTCTCACGAGGAGCTGTGACCTGGGGAGCACCAATTAAATTTCCCCTGTACAAACCCCCATTGGCAGACTATTTATTGATGGGGATACAAGGAAAGGAAAAGTTTTTCTCAGGCATCCCTGTCGGGTCGGGGTGGTCTCTTGCGTATATTACTGCAGACAAGAGGACACTCAGGATAAAAGACCTGAAGAGCCGAGAGGCCCCAGCCTGTGGTCCCATCCCCTCCATTCATATGTGAGGCAGTGGGAACCAGGGAGGGGAGCGCTCTCCTGGGGCCCCAGGCGCGTCAGCGGCAGGGGTGGAGGAAGGAAAGCCCCGGTTTCCAGGACTGATTCCTGGCCTGACGGAGGCCCACATAGCAAGGACTAGGGCTCCCCAGAGCTGTGCCCGTGCTTTCTGCCTGACAACTGAGGGACTCCACAAACCAGACAGTGCTTCCTAGGATGAGAATGAGGCATGACGTATGCACTGTTGTAATTAAAGAGGGGTACTACCAGCACTAAAAGAAAGGGAGGGAGGGGCCTTAATGACCATCCACGGAGGAAGGACTATTTAAACTGTGGAACGTCTACCGGTATGGAGGACTTGGAAGCAGTTAAAAAGAGTAAGGTGCTCAAGTAGCTTTGTGTATGCCCACATAGAAAATGCTGAAAGACATGGTACTGAGTGAAAAAAAAATCACAGGACAAAACACACATTATGATGCCATACATGTAATATAAACAGGAAATAAAACCCACAAAATACCACTGCCTTGCAAACAAAAATCTATGGGGAAAAGTATACCAAATAGTTCAGTCTTTTTCTCTAGGTATCAGGGAGAAAACTGGGATTAGGGGTCGACAGGGACTTTAATTTTATCTGGAATGTCTAATATTTTACAAGGAAAGTATTTTCATGTATTATTATTAAACTAAAAATTAATTCAAAAAATAGTAGTACCTAAATAAATTAATAATAACAGAAAAACTGGAAGAATACTGAAAAGCACAAAGCAGGAAGATTTTTTTTTTCTTTTTTTAAGATTTTATTTATTTTATTTATTTGAGATAGAGAGCACAAGCAGGTGGTTGGGGGGGGCAGAGGGAGAGGGAGAAGCAGACCCCCCACTGAGCAGGGAGCCAGATGTGGGACTTGATCCCAGGACCCTGATACCGTGACTTGAGCTGAAGGCAGTAGCTTAACAACTGAGCCATCCAGGTGCCCCAAAATATGAAGTTTTTTGCCCATTCATCTCACATTGTCTTTTTCTAATAGATTTGTAGAATTTCTGATTGGGGATTCCATATCAGAATTTTTGCTGCAAATACCTTCTCTCATTCTGTGGCTTGCCTTTTTGTTTTTAACCAAGATGTTACTATATCATTAATTTGTAGGTAGGCAAAATATAAATTGAAAAGATTGATTACTTCCACAATGGTATATTTTTTTCTCTTCCAGTTGGGTGCTTGTGAATATTTCTCAAAATCCAGGGGGTAGTATTAGTACGGAATTCTCTATACCTGTGAACAGGTTGTTTGCTTGGCGTGTTTAATTATGGTCTATAACATACATAAATATATGGAATATGCAGGATTCTCACTGCATAGACTAATCAAATCATCCGTGCTACTGTGGGTGGGCATTTGGGCTGTTTGCAGAGTGAATAGTGATGCTATTATGAACGAAGATGCCTTGAATGTTCTTGTCCATTTCTTTTGGTAGATCTACCCTCTCATTTTTATTAGGTGAATTTACCGTGTCATAGAATGGCTAGGTCAGTGTGTGACTAGACACTGCCAAACAGTTTTACAAAGTGTTTGTGCCAATGTATTCGCTCATTCAGCAATGTGGGAGAGTTTTCATTTCTTCACATTCTCATGAACACTGGCTCTGTCTGTCTTTTCCGTCATCGCCATTCTGGTGGGTGTGTTGTGATATCTCATCATCGCTTTGATTTCCCTGATCACCATGGATACTGGGCCTCTTTTCATAGGGCACTACCGTTGGGACAGCCTCTTTTGTGAAAGAAAGCCTGTTCAATATTTTTGCCTGTTTTTTTTTTTCTTAAAGATTTTATTATTCATTTGACGGAAATCACAAGTAGGCAGAGAGGCAGGCAGAGAGAGGAGGAAGCAGGCTCCCCGCTGAGCAGAGAGCCCATTGCAGGGCTTGATCCCTAGACCCCAGGACCATGACCCAAGCCAAAGGCAGAGGCTTAACCCACTGATCCACCCATGAGCCCCTTTTTGCCTATTTTTAAATCAGGTCATCTTTTCCTTGTTGATTTATATGTATTCCTGATATATTGTGGGTACGTGAATTGTAAATATATTTCTGTGGCGTGTCTTTTGATAAACAGAAGTTCTTAACACTTGGTATATTTATCGTTTTCCCCCTATGTGGTTGGTGCTTTTGTGACTTGTTTAAAAAAAAATCTTTCCTACTCTAAAGTCATGAAGATGTGTTATCTTCTGAAAGTCTTAGAGTTTAACCTTTTGAGGCTTAACAGACCTTTAAGTCTGTTATCCACTTGGAGTTGATGTGTGTGTTTCATGGGAGGTAGAAACGCATTTTCCTTCCTTCCCCAATTGTCCCAGCGCAGGCGACTGGAAAGACCTGCTTCTCCCTGCCCCATGGTGGTGTCGGCCTGTACGTCAATGATCAGGGACCCACAAAGGGTCTAGTCCCTGTAGCCTCTTAAATATTTGTTGGGTCTAGCCTGAAATGAATCAGCATTTGTTAGGTATCTATTTATAAGTCCTGTTATGTTTTTGAAGGAAACTCAGTTATTAACATAGTATCCCCCACCCTGAGAGATCATAAGGTGATCTTCAGGGAAATACTGCACAGTCACGGAATCTTTGCTCAAATTTTGTGTGCTTTTTGAGCCACTGGCCCATTGTTCATTGTGAGGACACACGCCAGAAGAGGGCCCTGTTTGTCTGCGTGAGCAAGGGAGGGCCCGTCCCTGGAAGGAAGACAGCCTGTCTGAGGGCCTGTCTGCCTTTGATGGCAGGACTTCCC